GACGGCCACCTGTACAAATGGCCCCTTAGCATCCCCCCCGCGCATTTCTTCTATATAATTTAACTGAGTAAAACGGTCACCTGTTCAACGCGGCTGCGGCCACCTTATTTTATCAACCCACTGTCAAATTTACCTGCCTCAGGCGGCCAGGCGTGGTCACTCATAGCCTGATGCTTTGTCATAAATTTTTTAATCGGTTCCTTGCGCTGTGGACGGGTCGTCATAATCAATTCACCTATCATTATTGTAAGTCCCTACAGTGAATGAATGTTTGCCCAGGTTGACCAATGGGTAGGCCTTACGATAAATTTTCAACTGCTGGCGAGGGAAGCGCGATCCGTCATAACCTATAAGCCCCGCCCACAATTCATGCACAAATCGTGTGTGAGGTGACTGGTCACTGTTTTGTTTACCTAATCTGTAACAAAATAACAATGGACGTCAACATGAACTTGTGACAGAAGCGTCACTCGTTCTTCAAGTGGTGACGATCCGTGTGTTTGTTTTACCATGGCACTCGGTCTTCATCGTCTTACTTACACAATATTTCGTTCATTTTACCCTTGCACAAAATCAGCAACAAAAAGAAAGCTTACCAAAAAAAAAGATACACCAAAACAACACCAAAAAAAAACACATTCTTACACCACCACCCCCTTTTATCAAAAAAACCAAAAACCCTTTTGATTAGCCTTACTGCAGTCTAAAGTCTGAGATCAGCCCTGTTTGGACCTCAGAACAGAATGATTAATTTTGCTTTCTTCATTTTGACCAGTTCTGCCTAAGACGGCCACCTGTGTTAAATAGCAGTTCTGCTTAAGACGGCCACCGGTGTTATACGGCCACTTTTTTCCTTGACATTGGGTGGCCGTTTTACACAGGTTTGACTGTATATGTATGTGTCTCCATGGGTGTATGTATGCATGTGTGTGTGAGCACATGTGTGTGTATGTGTGTATGTACAAATTTGTGTTTGTGTGTGCGTGCGTGTGTGGTACTATGTACGTAGGAACAGAAAAATCTTTTTGCACACAGCAACACGTGTATAAAATTAATAGCCTGATTTAAGTGGGCATTATTGAACCTCTGTATTTTATCTACTTTGCCCGTTTGCCCAATTCTTTAGAGTAATCATAGTTAGAACTGATAAAATGAAAAATGGAGCTTGTCCTTTAAATGAGATTTCAATTTCTTTGGGATACTAATGTTGCAGAGTACACAAAAACCATTTATTTCAATCACAGAACTAGTGATGTGTGTGGCTATTCAAAGATTGACACCTGAAATCTTTAATTTCAAGCACAGAACTAGGTGTGTGCGTGTGTGAAGATGCGAACATTTATGACGTTCACTGTCCCAGCTCTGCTACTTACCTGACATTCAGGGAGTAAGTATGCAATGACAATGCCCAAGTGACCCTGAAAATGGATGAAATAATTATCAATAAGTGTTACTTCATACTAAGTGTAATAACACTTTCTAGAATATCCCACTTTTTATGTCTATTTTTACAAAAGACCCACTTAAGTTAAATAGTAGAATTAATGTGACTAATGTAACAGAACTAATGTGCAGTTAACACAAATGCTAAAACTAGAACAAACAAGAGCAGAGGGGAAAAATCAGTCAAGTCGAAAGCAAGTCACATTGTCGCACTAATTGTCATTGAATGACATGCAAAAATAAGCTAGACACACAAAAACCTACAACCACCTACAATCAGTCTCTTCCCTAAGGCAATGCCAAAAACAAATTTGAACTTTGTTCATGATAAGTTTAGTTTTAGTAAGAGTTTTACGGCACTTTCAACACAATAAGGTTATATAAGTGCCAAAGATTAGAGGTGTTACAAGAGAGTAACAAACACAAAAAAGAAGAAGGGGAGATAAAGACGATCAATGTTTGATAGGAAAGAAGCAAACCACACCAGAGCACTTGCCAACCACCCACATTCATGATAAGGGGGGTTGGGGGTAAGTTAATCTTATATTTAAAAAATACAGGATAGAAAATGTTTCCAACAAGCCTTTGCTTTTTCGAAGATTTCTGGGAGTCAAATCATACCTTAAAAGAGGCAAACTTTTCTCTGCCAGAATTGATCTCATTGGAAACAGCAGAAGCCACACGTCATCTTAACCTTTAATTCTTCTAACTCTTCAATTTCCTTTGAGAAATATTCTCCTCTGTGGTCATCATCAGACACTGACAGACTATTATGATTGAGTCTTACACAAAGCAGTCGTTATTTTGTTGTGATATGAACAACGTCCTGAAAAACATTGGACGCCTAAGGAAGAAATGACCTGACCCCTCCGCTGCAAAAGTCGACGATAATGTCTCCAGGTTTGGCCACAGACTGGACAGCTGTCACCAAGTTCTCTAGCTGCTGACACTTGCGGCGAGTTCTCTTCTCAGGGACATCTCCTACAATATTGAAAGCAACACATTCATTGCAGCGTTCTCTTTCTTTTTTTTCATCACAGACATACGGAAACTAAGCAGGCCTCATTCTGTTCCTTGAGAAGATGGGAAATTTAAGTTTGAACGGAAAAGCATCTTTATAAGTTGAGAAAACCTTAAAAAGTTGTCTTTTCAGAAGAATCAAAGATAAAAAGATTGTGCTAATCTGGCGGGATAAATTTGTGAGTTACTTGTGGATATGTCGCATAGTAGTAAACATTATGCTTCAAGATTAAAAAAAAAAATTATCAGTTATAGATTCACTGTTAAAAATAGAATCATTTCGCGAGGGGACATTTTCTCTGTCATAATCAGAATAACCCAGTCATTTTACAAGCACACTTCTCCAAAACTTAGTAGGAAAAAGATCAAGCCCCTTCAATTGTTTTGCTTTCACCTGTCTTCAAAACACATCCGAACCACCAAATAAGTACCCAGTTAAAAGCCAAGTCACCATCATGCCCTACTACATACGAACACCAAAATGCCATAAACGGTGAGAGTACCATGAAAGCTTGGGAAGAAGGGTTGGACATACACAGGTAAGATCATTTAATTTTAGTAAAAGTTTTTCAGCACTTGCAACACAAAAAAGTCATACATGTGCTGTAAATTAGAGGTATTACAAGAGAGTAACAAATATCAAAATAATGAGTGATAAGGACGATAGACGTCCGATTGCAAACCACACCAGCCCACTTGGATAAGATCACTGACCTTCCTTTGGATGCACCCCAGGGGGCAAATTATTCCAATCCACCTGCACACTCTCCCCGCACGGATGGCTTCCTGTCACTGCTTGCACACTTGAATTCTGCACAGAAGGAACACCAATACTCAGTTGGTGATGTGACGTTCGTGTGTGATAAGGATGAGAGCACATGTATGAGGGTATAGTATATAAGCATGGACATGCACGCAGGGGAGTGTCTGTGTGCACATGTGTTTACATGAGTGTGTGAAAGTGTATGTTTATTGCTCAGCATAAGACTCCATAACATTTCACTTTTCAAAATGACACATGGCAGAGACTTACACAAAGCAGTTGAAACGTATATGTTTAAGTTCCTGCGTGTGTGTGTGTTTCTATTCCACTGAAGCAAGTCACTAACTAGTTCTTGTGCCTTTTGGGTTATTTTCCTGCATCTTACCTCAAGTTTCTTCAGAGTCAGGAGTACTTCTGGTTTTATGGCTTTGTGCTTCACTTTAGCGCAGCGACTGAAACCAAAATAAAAACAAAAAATCATCCATTACAATATACAAAGTATAAAGGATATTGAAATTACAATCAAACCTGCTCCAACAACCACATGTCTAAGACAATCATCAGTACAAACAACAACAACTCCCCCTTACATTTTTTTTCTGTATTATAATGACACTGTCAGTAATGTCCACCATTCTAAAACAATCACTTTTCTCCTTGACAATGGGTGACGATCTTGGACAATTTCAACTGCATGTGTTCAAGTGTATCATTTCACCTTAATGGGGGGGGG